TACTGCTACTGCTACTGCTACTAGAACAAGAACGCGTTATGTGTGTCTGAACTGGCCTCGAAATCGTCTGTGCACAGTTGGTTGCCGGGGTCTGGCCTGGGCTGCTCGTACTTAGCGCGTAATATAGGGGGCTCAATAATTCGAAGAGGGTTTCGGGGTTTCTTATACTAGAACTATAATAAGGAGCCCCCAAAAGTAGTATTGGTAATTATTTAGGCCCCTATATTAGGTGACTTAGGATCTTCGTAGGATTTTGTCAACGACTTCCTCGCGAGCAAGCATGCCTGGCCGGATCTCCCAGCTGGACGCTGAGGTCTATGGGGTTCCTTCAACTGTGGAAGTACATGTTTCAGGCGTCCTGCTGAAGACTGATAAAGATCTTACGAGTACCTAAGTCGGGGTTTTTAATTGTTGAACCTCCAATATGGAACTACAGGCAGTGCCTTGCCGAGAATGACTCAGACTAGGATCCCAGAGACAAATCGAAACCCAAATTCCCCGAAGCCCAGACCCCGGCATCCGCATCAAAACCCCAAACCCTCAGGCACCGAATCCCACGCCTAGGTAGGTCGAGTGGCAACGATGCCACCAGGAAGTCGGCCCAGGTCTTCAAGAGCGACCAGTAGCCTGATTGAGCGAAGGGCTTCTAATCTTCACAACGGCGGAGTTTTCGGAGGTTTCGGCAAGGTTGCGCAAGGTGTCTGGGGTTGAGGTTTTGTCTGTGGCAAAGTGGAGGAAGGGGTGCCCGACAAATCAGTGGGGTACACCAGCGCAGGGTGCAGAGTTTCCTGAACCCGAAACCCTAAACCCCCAAACCCCAAAACCCCTAGACCCTAAACCCCTAAACCCTAAACCCCTAGATCCAATTTAGGGTTTGGGTTCAGGACTTCGGTCCTAAACCCTAAACTCGCGGACAGGCAGCTGCTCAACCATTCGAGGTTTCCCAACTTCTTGGACACGGCAGCGATCATAATGAGCATGTTGCCGCTCTCCTGGTGAATGGCTGCTCTTTAAAGAAGTACTAGAGGCCCCCAGAACCCTCCACATAATGTAGGCCTATTATGTTAGAATAGGGTGCTGAGGTTCCTTGAGGGGGGTTCTTTAAAGGGATCTATAATGGGGTTCTATGATATAGGGGCCTTGATAACTAGAATCGGGCTGTGGGTAAACCATGCTAGAATTATGGAACAGGAGCCCCGAAGTAGCTTTGGTAATGATTAGGCCGGACATAGTACTCCAACATGAACCTTGCTCCGCGAGGCATGTTGCCGCCCCAGGAAACGCATCAGTAGCACCAGGGTTGGCAATAAGGGCTCTATACATGGCGGCGCAGTGGCAAGAGCAATCACACTCGAAATCGGTAAATTCATGCTAGTCGCGGCCCCATACAGTCGCCTACAACTACTTCAAGCGTTACTTAAGCGAATGCATCCATTCATCAAAGCCCTGAGCCCAAGTTCTTGAGGCCGCCATGGTAGTGACCAGGTCACCCTTGAGACTCTTCACCCTACAGCCCCAGCCTCACCCCAAAATAGCCCAACTCTTCAAGACTTTTTACAAAGAAGCCATAACAAGGACCCCAAAAAAACAGGGGGTTATAGGGTCCAGGTGTTCTCTAAGATCCACCTCCACCGGCATCTGCTCTTGCTGGTCGCCGCGCAAGGCACAGACGGGCCAAGTGCCGAGGTGGTGAGGCCTTGGCTTAATAGAGCTGCACTGGATCCTTTGTATGCATACATAACATTCATGTGTGCATGTATGTATATATATATATACAAAGAAAGATAAAGCTTTATTGGGTCGCTCTAAACTCTTCATATGCTTCCTCTTGCGCTTATGTCGGGAGGGAATCTGGCTAGCGGGCGATGCAGCGTCTTCCATGCTTTCTTGGAGCGAGGAGGTGAGGGTCCGAGATTTGAAGAAAATGACAGGGAAAATTTTGAGCCTTAAATGCTAAGCCCTGGGTCTCGAAAAGCAAAGGCACGACGACCAACTACACCGAGCCACGCCCAGGATAAGTTGTACTTGATGTCCATACCTGCAGATGAACTGGGTCAGGGTGTACGTAGGGTTGGGATTCAGGGTCAGGATCGGGTTTTAGATCATGGACGAGCGGACGCAAGGCCTCCGCGACAAAGGTCGTCGGTCGTCGGTGACACCCCGCAGTAAAAGTCACACGATTGCAAGACGAAAGACCAAATCATGATGGCGATGACGCTGACGATGTCGAAGAAGATGATGATGGAGATTTCGGTTTAACGTCGGGTCAGAGTACAGCGTAACATCATCGATTACAAAGCCACACTGAAAATAAGAGTCAGAACAAGACGAAATGAGCAGCATAGCCCTGAGCCCTTGGCTCATGACAGACATTGCTGAACGCAACCCGGGCGCCGTACGGCGCAGTGCCGTTCACGGAGTAGACGAGCCTAGGTTTTTGCACATGATCCAACTGACAGGGCAGTCAGGGCATGTTCACCCCGAGAACTGGGGACTGTTTCTTGTTCCGCACCAGCCGGGGAACAAAGGCAGCATCAGCTTGCGGAAGAATTCGGGAGCCAAATGCAGGAAGAAGGGGAAGGCGGGGAAGATGACCTCGGGCTTTCAGCGCGGTCCGGCAAAGGCACAAAGGCCGATTTACGGGCTCGGTGGAGGTCAAGCGCGGGGGTTCTTTCACAGAGGCTGGTGTTGCCCATGCGCAAACTTCAGCTGTTGCTTCGGCTGATGGCGAGGTTGGGGATGCTACGCGGCCAAGCGTCATCCACGGTTGAGACGTCTCCGTCGGACGAAATCTCCTGCGGCACTAACATCAAACCGCCGCTTAAGAGAAGTTGGAAAAGACTTGCACATAAGCGACACCGGCGTTAGCTTTCCTGCCTTCATGAACGGCCACTCTTCGCCTCCGGATCGGGTCAAGCATTGACAGAAATTTCCTCTGTTGCACGCAAGCCCCGACAAGCAGGCCTGCTTTGTGGTTCCACGCCGTCGACGTGGCGCCGGTGACCTGACAGAAAGTAGGGTCCGAAACCCTAAACCCTAGCTGGGTCTATGCCTTGGGGCTATCGTGCTACAGAGACGCTGTGCCTTTGCAGCCCCGGCCTGGCCTGGCGGTATACCAGGGATCCCAACTGCACGTACTTCTCACCTCCCCGGCTCCGCAACTCAGCCATGAGCTTCTGGTCTGAGTCCTTCTGCATGGTGAAAACCATGAAAGACTGCCAAAACGTAGGGCTCAGTAACACTAGTACTCGTCTTCGTCAAGAGTGTCAATACGTGGAGGAGGAAGCATCGCCGTCATCGTCGTCGTCGTAGCAGCAGCAGCAGCAGGAGTAGCACGAGTAGCAGCAGTAGCAGCAGTGGCAGCAGCAGCAGCAGCAGCAGCAACACGAGCAGTAGGAGTAGTCATCGTCGTCGTGGCGGTAGTGGTAGTGGTACCACAAGGAGTAGACGTCGTCGTCGTAGTAGTAGTCGTCGTCGTTGTCGTAGCTAGAGTCAGCTAGAGGTTGTAGCAGAAGCAGTAGCAGTGGCAGCAATGGCAGAGGCGGTGGCAGAGGCGGTGGCAGAGGCGGTGGCAGAGGCGGTGGCAGTGGCAGCAGCAGGAGGAGCAGGTGCGGAGGCGAAGAAGAAGAAAGTCACTGTTGGGTCCTGTGCCCGGCTTCTTCGAAGCTCTGCTTGCTCCTCAGCCGCAGCCAAAGCCAGTGTCGCGTTCTTGAAGTGCTGCGTCCACCATGGCCGCAGGTCCGTGCCGAAGAATCGTTGGGCCACAACCTCCACGAGGAGCTTAGGGTTTAGTGCCGAGTTTCAGGAAGGCTTGGAGCTAAATTGAAAGCCTTAGCCTTGGGTTGACCTGCTTGTGCAGGAGCCTAACGACCGCCACAAAAACGAGGAGAGTGGAACGACGAAGGCTACCAACCACGACTAGTGTTCAAACACTGCTCGGAATTCCATCGGCTCTACCAACTCAGTTGATGTTGTGACAGCACAGCCGACACTTGATCAAAAACAGACATACTCCAGTCACAGCCACTGGTATAGTCATTTGACAAGTAGTGGACGAGAGAGAGAGAGAGAGAGAGAGAGAGAGAGAGAGAGAGAGTGTGTGTGTGTGTGTGTGTCTCTATGTGTGTGTAAAGTTCTCCGTCATGAACTTGTGGGAGTCACGTCCCAAGCGGTTGCAGTTTCATGTCACATGCTTTCTGCAGTAGCTTCAGGTTCAGTGATGAGTGCAGTCTCATGTCTTGCAAGCTGAAGGCACGCAATGAAATTTCAGCAGGGGAAACCAACACCCAGGATCACAAGTACTGGGATCCTTCCCCCGCCTGAGGGTTGTCTCAATGGGGGTGAGGATACAGGTGACTGACCTGCTTTGTTTGTTGGTTGTGTTGTTGTGTTGTGTGGTTGTTTGTTGCTTGCGGTGTCTGTCTTAAATCCAACCAGGAGTGCGTCCAACTTGTCGAGAGGGTCTGTCTGTCTCTGCATACGCGCATACATACATGCATGCGTGCGTGCAGTCCATCCCTCCATCCATCCGTCCGTCCATCCATCCATCGCTTGCTCCCTCCCTCCATCCATCCCTCCCATCTCGTCCCCTTCCATATCCATCCATCCAGCACTAAGACCTAGTATCAGTTGTATATGCACTCACGTGTTCGTGTACTCATTTCTCATGCTACGATGAACCACTGTAGAAGAGATACCATATGAAGCACAACGACGCAGACAGAGGACAAACAACACCGCAGGCACACATGGGTGCAGTACACTACTACGGCGCAGTACGTTGTAGCGGCGTTGGGGTTTCTGTTTAAAATGTCTGCGTGCTTTTGTTGCTTACCTCCCTATGCATGTAAATGCGCGCAGCCACCCTTAATCATCTGGTTGCTCCCCTAAACCCTAAGCCCTATATGGTTGCTCTCACGACAGCCCCAATCTCCCTGAAAAGAAGATGACGGGGTGTCGGGCGGGGAAGCCGGCCTCATCCAGCATCAGATGGAGCCTGGCGGCTTCGCCCGGAGAGACCTTGGTTCAGGGTTTAGCGTTTTGGGTTTGGGGCTTCGCAGGGTTTAGGATTTTGAGGCCTTAGGAGTTTTGGGGCCGGGGTATTCACTTCAATCCCTTTCCTAACCTCTAAGCCCCAAGAACCACTCGACACACCGACCAACCAATAAACCCCAAAACCGAATGTTAAGTCCCCCCGGACCAGCCGAGATACTAGCACACAAACCTTGTAAGGGTCTGAACGTCGAAAGCTGAAATCTTAATACTAGCAATGCCATTCGAAACACCGATCGCGGTGAATGCTAGGGTGTAAGAATGGCACGTGAATTGGCAGATTCCGTTTGCGCATTGGTTTGCCTTAAACCCAAAGCCCTAAACCCT